CATTATCATTAACTATTTTTATCCTGGGGATTTAGCAAAAGGGAAAAACAATTTCAATAATTGTTTTAGAATTTTCCCTAAGTGAATATAGTCAGGGGAAATCACATAGTTATGGCACCTCTATGTATGAATCTTGGGTCTTTTTACACTGCCTTGAAAAGCAACTGCCTTCTCCCCTACTTTTTCCCCAGATAAATCAGCAATCAATAAATGATCTGCTGAAACACATTCTGTCCCTGCAAAGTGCCACAGTCCAGGAAGAGCTCTGTAATTTATCACTAACTCTGCTTTCTCCACTAAAACTATTTTAGAAACATAAAGATTTCTGAGACATTACATTCGGTTGTCACTTGTTGAACCCTGTCTTCTCCATTTCTCTGGCGCTTGTCATTATTGGCTATTCCCATCTCTTGGCAGTCACAACTTGACTTCTATTACTATTTTCTCTAGCTTTGTTATCCATGTCCTTCTGTCATGCCCACTGCAACTGGTATAGTTTAAATCCTCTTGTTTCTTCTTTGGATTATTCTATAGCCCCCTGCTGGTTACAACGTCACTAGAGCTATCAGTTAGAGGGCATCCCGCCTCTACTGCAAAGGTTATTCTTTAAAGGTGTATTTCTAGGAATAAGTCCTTAATGACTCCCTGTTGGTCACAGGAGACAACTCAAACTTCATAGCTTGCCACAGAATGCCTACCACTTTGGCCATATCAGTTGCTGTCTTCCTTCTTATATTCTATGCCACAATAAACTGATATACTTAATAGACCATGCTCTTTTATTGCTATGTGTCTTTGTACCCTTTATCTGGCCTAAAATGTTCTTGTTCTCCCTTGTCTGCTAGATCACTTATTAGTCTTTCAAGGTTCATTTTATGTAATTTCCTTTATGAATCCCTTCTGACCACTCCACATACCAGTAGTAGAATTGTCTTCTCCTATATTTGTGCCCTATGTTACACCCTGCAAATGCTCCTATTTTAATGTATACAGCACTGTACAACATGTTTACTTTTGGTTTTCCTTTCAAGATCTCAAGCTGTTCAAGGGTAAGGTCTATGTCTTAGATATTTTTGTCTTTTAAATCCTCCTGGCACATAAGTTTAATATTTATTTTTCCTCCTATAATTTAGCAACCTTGAGGAAATTAAAAAACTTGGGCAATTAGTATTAAAATCAGTTTTGCAATATTTTCATTACCTCTTCAAAAATCCTATACTCATTAACTATCATTTTCCCAATTTCCCCATATCTCTCAGACCTTAGGTAATCACTTCTGGACATTTTATGTATATGAATTGTGTAAAATGTGGTTTTACATTTTTAGGTTCTCTAGTGTAAAGTTTTCAAGGTTTATCAACATTGTACTTTCTTTTGTTTTGGTAAATATTATTCCATTGCTTGGATAGAACACTATACATTTATAAGTGGAAGGATATTTTGGTTACTTCTGCTTTTGGGCCATGATGAATAATGCTGACATTTGTATACAAGCTTCTTTTTTGTGTGTGTGTGTGCAGCATAGTGTTTGCAGTTATCTGGGATTTGTCTTAGAGTAGGACTGCTGGATCATATGGTAATATAACATTTCAAGGAACTGCCTGTTTTTCAGTGTTGTGCCATTTTTAAAACTTGAGGTGAAATTCATACAACATACAATTATCCATCTTAAAGTGTGCAATTTAGTTACATTAAGAATATTCAAAATGTTGTGCAACCACCACCTCTCTCCAGTTTCAAAACTTCTCCATCAGCCTAGCAGTACACACTGTACCCATTACGTAGTCACTCCCCACTCTTTCCTCCCCCATCCATTGACAGCCGCTAAGCTGCTTTCCATCTCTTTGGATCTGCCTATTTTGGCTATCCTATAATAGGAGTCATACAACAGCCAGCTTCTTTCACATAGCATAATATTTTATTTGCATCAATATCTCATTTCTTTTTATGGTTGAATAACTCTGTGGTATGTATATACCACATTTTGCATATCTATCCATTATCAATATTTGAGTTGTTTCTTTTTGCTGTAATGAATAATGCTCCTAGTAAATATTCATGTACAAATTTTTCTGTAGACATATATTTTCATTTCTCTTAGGTACATACTTAGTAGTGAACTTAATGCATTATACTATTTCCACAACAACTGTACCATTGTATATTCCCACTGGCATTGTATGAGGGTTTTTATTTCTCCACGTCTTTGTTGAAAGAAACCTCTTCTCTCTCCCTCTCTCTCTCTCTGTCTCTCTCTGTCTCTCTCTTTTAGGAGAGTGCTACAGATGGAATGGAACTCAGGTCTGCATGTGTGCTAGGCAGGTGCTCTACCACTGAGCTACCCACATATCATTTTTTTCATTTCATTTTAAATGTTTTTTAAAACTTTATTTTATATGTAAAGAGTTATCATGATTTTGTTCATTAGGTGGGTGTTTTGGATAATTCTTTCAAGGAAGCTCACTTTTCGCTGTCTAATGAAGCTTATATTGTTCTTGTACTGATCAAACATAGGTGGCATGTGTTGAGGCCATATTTCTGGATCAGACCATGCAAGTCTGAGCAGATGCAGCAAGTATGTGAACACTGGCTGAATTTTCACAGCTGATTCCAGTAGTGCTGTTGGAAGCCCATCTTTCTTTTAGGAATGCAGTGAGACAAAGTGCTCCATTTGTTGATTATAAGCATTCTTATAAATATGTAATTTATCATTCTGGTTTTGCTTTTCATCTCCTTAAAGTCCAATGATGTTGAATATCTTTCATGTTCTCAGCTATTTGTACACCTTCTTTGGAAAAATGGCTATTCAATTCCTTTGCCCATCCTCAAATTGAGTTGTCATTTTGTCAGTGACTTCTAAGACTTCTTTATATATTCTGAATGCTAAATGCTTGCTGGATATATGGCTTACAAAAATTTTCCCCCCATTTTGTGGTGATATCCTTTGAAGGTTTTAATTTTGATTTTTAGTTTATCTGTGTGTTTTTTTTTCCTTGTTGCTTGTGCTTTTGGTGGTATATATAAGAAATCATTGCCTAATCTAAGGTCAAGATTTATTTTCCTATATTTAAAAAATTTCAAAGCCTTAAGCTTATATTTATCTTTTATTCTATTTGAATCAATTTGTGCATATGGTATCAGGTAGTTGTTCAAAAATTCTTTTTCTATGTGACAATCCAGTTTTCCTAGCTCCATTTATTGAATAGAGTGTTCGTCCCCCAATCCCCCAACACAACATTAAGTCACCTTGGTACGCTTACTGAAGTAAATAAATAAATGTGAGGGTTTATCTGTGATCTTATGTTTATCCTCATGCTAATAGCACACTTTTTATTGGGGGGATAGTGGGGATTGAACTGAAGACCTTGCACTGAGCTACATTCCTGGCTTCTTTTTAATTAAAAATTTTTTCAGACAAATCTTGCCAAGTTGCTCAGGCTGGCCTTGAACTTGGGATTTTCTTGCCTCACTTGCCTCAGCCTCCTGAGTAGCTAGGGTTATGGGCATGTTCCGTTACATCCAACTCACAGTGTCTTGATTAGTATAGTTTATGGTAAGTTTTGAAATTGGGACCAACTTTTACTTTATTCTCTTTAGTAGTACTATAAATGAGATTTTAAAAAATTCAATTCGGGTTTGCTTATTGCTACTCTATAGAAATAGCATTAATTTTTTTACATTGATCTTTTATCAGGCAACCTTGCCCAATTTACTTATTTATATTGAGCCTTTGCACTTAGCTACATCCTCAGCTCTTTTTAATTTTTTTTTTTTTTTAATTTTGAGAAAGAGTCTTGCTAAGTCACTAAATTTCCCAGGCTGGGACAAACTTGTGATCCTCCTGCCTCAGCCAGAGTGCTGGGTTTACAGGAACACACTATTATACCTGGCTTGTTTAATAGTTCTAATAGTTTTTAATGAGTGTCTCCACATTGTCTGTACAAAAAGCCATGTCATCTGTGAATAGCATTGATTTTACTTCTTCCTTTCCAGTCTTGATGTCTTTTATTTCTTTTGTTGTTGTTTTGGCTAGTCTCTATGGCTGGAATTCTAGTACAATGGGAAAAGTGTGTATTTTTATCTTATTTTAAATGTATTTTTCCATCATTAAATAAGTGTAGTTGTTTTTCTGAGGATGTGATTTTTATTATTTTGTCAATTTTTTTGCATTGATTTAGATAATCATGTGATCTTGTCTTTCATTCTTTTGATATAGTGTGTTACATTAATTAATTTTCAGGCGGTAAACAAACTTTGCATTCCTTGGCCGGATACAAATAGATATTCCTTAAAGTGAATATGTATTGGTAACTAAATTTTTATATTGCTTATTAAATTATGTGAGGATTGTGTAAAATTAACTGAAGAAATGAACAGGGAAACAGACTGGAAAATACTTTCCTTTTTTTTTGGTATCGGGTATTGAACTCGGGTCCTTGTGCTTTCAAGGCAGGCGTACAATTTCCTTTTTTCAAGCAGTAACTACTTAAGAAATATTGAAACTTTGGAAGTAGAGCTGTTATTGTAGAAAGTTTTAAAAACAATATAAATTCTGCCTGGGAAAGTGATACCTACCTGTAATCCCAGCTACTAGGGAGTGTAAGGCAGGAGGGTTCCAAATTAGAGGCCAGGCTGGGCAATTTAGTGAGACTGTCTAAAAAAAAAACCGATTATGGCACCTTTTCACACTTTATGTCTTAGACTTTTCCTTTAAGGCCCTGAAAGACCTTTTATGACACTAAACCACCTCTTCCTAATAGTCCTACTTTATAAAAGTTACTGTAATGCTTTTCTCATAGATTTGTTTTTTATCTGTCCCTGCCACTCCCATATACACAGCAATCACTCTACTCAAGTGTTACCCCAAATGAGTACTTGTACAAAAATGTTGTTAATTGGGAGTACAGTGAAGTTACTGCTAATTTTCTAATTGGCTTAAGCCCTTTAGTGTTCTTAGAACAAAAAGACCCTTATAGAAAAACAAATATCAAAAAGCTTACTTTTAATTGTGATCCCAAGAATTATCAGTATCTCTATCAACCAGTTCAAAAGCTTCATCTCTTAAGCAGATCCTCTTCACTGTAATACAGGCAGAACTAGGTGGCTGGCCCCCGAAGCTTCTTCTCAGGTCTGAGGTATTCAGGACATAGTTGCTAAGTAACCATTCCCTTTCTCTTGGGCCAATGGGCTTTCAGAAAGTTCTTTTGAAGCTAGAATGAGAAGGCTAACTGGAGAGAGTAGGGTGGGGGAAGGAACTATACCTAGTCTATTTCTCTGGCTGGACAGAAAGTTTAAGCTTTAAGGTTTAGGCAGGATTTACTCTGACACGAAAAAAGAAGATGGCTAGAAATTTAATTTGTGTAAGTCCATATTACTATTCAACTGTGTTCAGAGTTGCTGGAAGTTCATATTTTCTTGTTACCTCTAGAATATCCACTTTTTGTTACTATAATGAGATACCTGATGTGGGGTAACTATAAAAAAGAGGTTTATTTCCACTCACAGTCCTGAAGGAGCAAGGCCTAGGGGCCACATTAAGTAATGGCCTTCAGTTTGACAGGGCAGAAGTGGTGCAGTGTATTTTGTGACGGCAAAACACAGGGAGCGCACTTGTGTCTGTCTCCCCCAGTCTTCTCCCTTTTTTCACAAAGTCACTAGGATTTAGTCACAGGACCTTCACCCTAATGACGTCATCTAATTCGAATGTCTCCCGAATGTTCTACCTCTAAATGCCATAGAAGAAATGTTTCCACTCTTGCAAAATCTCATTATGATTAAATTTTAACACATGAACCTGTGAGTTACATACAAATCATACTGAAACCATAGCAAAGTATAAGCTGAACTTGTGAACATACAATGAAGTAGCTGTGCTGACATTCTTTTAGCTAATATCTCTAAGCTATGGTGGACCAAAAACACATGGCCCAAATCTTCTTTGCTATAAAGCTGGATGAAAATGTATGTCCTCTGTTTAAATTAGGAACTGCAGAAGTTTTATGGGAGCAAAGGCAAACAAAGATTGTTAAGACTGCTTTCTTTATGACTTCAAACTATGTGGGCTTTTCACAGATGAGTATCTTCAAAGCTATGAGAGAAAACAAAGTGAATATTTAGGGCAAAGCATGGGATCATTAAAAATATCTGAAGAATGGAGGAATTTGAGAAACTGTTTAAAAATATTTACCCAACTTCTCCACAAAGAGACTGACCTCCCTTTGGGGTTGAGCAGGGCAGGTTGCGTTCTTTGGAGTGGGTGGGCTTGCAGGAGTTAAGCACTTTGGTTACATAGAGCACAGTTCATTTGGGCCCAGCAAATTCACCGGTTTTCAGATATTACAGACAGTGAGCTCAGTGCACAAAGCTACACCTCATTTACATTTGGCAGAGAGATAGAAATAATAAAACTGAGAACAAAGACAATTCCTGAGATGCTTGAGAGGAAGTGTCCCAAAGCCTGGACATGTTGAGGGAATGCAGGAAAAGTTTTCCACCAGTAAGTTTGGCTTGAACTGCAGAGAAACACATTCCCAGGTCACTTAAAATTGCATAAAAATAATTTATTCCAACTATTTCAAATATCCCTTAATACCTCTAAATAATCTTTTCATTTCTCATTTAAATCCATAATTATCAGCATTTTCAGCAGATAAGGTTGCTTTCTATTTTTACTTAAATTGAGACCGTTTAACCGATGTTCTTTCTACATTATTCCTTTTTGTTTAAAAACATCTTTGAAGCTCTGCCCATTTGTTCTTTTTCTAATTCATTCTAAAGATGAAATACCCTTCTTAAACTCTAAATCCAGTTCTTCTCCTCTCACTTGATTTTGTCCACTTGCACTTTTTGTAGTATCAGTCTAACATTTCTTTTTTTCCTTTTTTGCTTCAATCTTTTTTATCATCATCCTTCTCCTTGATTTAAATACTCGTCACATCTCTTAGAAAATCTTTCCATGGACTCTTGATCCTTTAACCTACTATCTACTCTGTTTTACCTTCAGCCCTTAACTATCTCAAAAGAATATTCTATAATCACTACATCTGGTTTTTGCCTCCAAAGTTTTCTTTAAGTGCTTATTTTTATTTTCACTTATTTACCCAGATTATAAGTATAATGGTATTTTCTCAGTTCTCATTTTACTTTACCTCTGTGAGATATCTGAGATTTCATACCACAAACACCTTGGAAATATATTATTGGCTTATATGAACATTGAATTGCAATTACTGTGTCCACAGTCTCAAACTCAACCTCTCATTCATGTTTTGATGCCTACTCTATGCTAAAACTGAATTGTAACTCTTTTTGAATCATTCATTGATTTCATTTGTGGTTTCCTTTTTTAGTTTTCATATTAAAATTAGGACTTCCCCAAAGTACTCCCTTCTATTCAAGTGTGCTCTTCCTTAGTGTTGCCAATACTTCTCTGTGGATGCTCACCTAACATAATTTAGTTTTTTATTTGCTCAATAAATATTTATTGAGAGTCTATAATGTGTTATTGTACTGCTTTCTGCAGATGGAAATCAAAAACTATATTTCTGTCCTTACAGAGTTATAAGCCCAGAGTGACTATTTTATTAATATAGATATTAATGAAAATAGTCACCAAATTTAAATGTAAATTATGAATTGTAAAAAGCGCTTTATAGGAAAATAAAAACAGAATATGTCATAATAAAAATTACTTTATATCATGTTTTGAATCATTTTTATGAGTGTCCCATTACTCAAAATACTCCATGCTTTATAATTCTTGATGAGACCGTTTCATTTTCTTTATTATTATTATATTATTTTAAAAAGTGTTCCAAATAATTATTTGCCCAACATATAACCGCAAATTTCCAAATAAACCTAAATTTACCTCTTCCTCCACATCAGCCTAGTAGATTGTCTGATACTTAGAAACACAATAATTTGGGAGGAGGGTTCCAAACTTCTTCCCAATTCCACGTCATCCTACTTGTGTGGTGAGTTATCCTGACATAGAAACTTCCGTACCCGGAATTTATTGTTACCCAGAATCAAGCCACCCTTTGGACCACTGCCTTAACCAGAAACAGTTGGTATGGCAGCAATAAGATAATCGGGCTCGGGTTAGCACCTGAGATTTACTTTGATGTAAGCCTTGTTTCCCACGTAACATTTTGGTTGCGTACAACTTCGTAGTTCTTAAAACATTTGAGAAGGCCAGTCTACCTTTGACCTTTCCAAACTTTACTGAATTTCAACGAAATCTGTAATTTTTACTAGGTGGTCGAGCAGCCAATTGCATATGGTCTGGAATGGTTTCCCCAATACTTTCACTTATTTTGGTCTTATTGCCCACCAGGAGGAAAGCTTCAGCTTATCTGATAAAATCCATTTGGATGGGCACTTTGAGAAGCAGGGGCAATTCGTTTCGGCTGCGCTGTCTTCTCCCACTTGCACATACATACAAACTTGGTTTCTGGAGACAGCTTTCGCCAGCTCCAGAAAAACCTGGACGGCGCACCTCGCCCTATAAGCCACGCCCGCCGGTCCTCCTGGAGCTGTGCAGCCAACTGGAAGCACCGCCCACCCCCACTCTTCTGCTTGGGCTTCACGCCCCGCCTCCGTCGTGAAGCTACCTTCAGCCCCTCGCGCCCTGGCTCCGCCCACTACAGCTCCCCAACGTCCTCCGCGTCGGGCCCGAGCCTGCGCCTGCGCCTGCGCTCTGAAGCCGAAGTCGGGGCGCGCCTTGGCTGGAACGCCGAGAGCGGCGGCTGAAGCAGCCAATGGGAGGTGGCGCTGCTTAGCGGCTGGG